TGCTGACAGCAATCAGGAGACACTCTGCCGCTCCTATTTGGAGCTCAGGTTCATTTAGGAGCAGACACAACATCTCCAAGAGCTTGCAGTTGTCTGCTGTGATGTGGCTCAGTGCCACCCAGTCAATGTAGCCAGCCAAGGTGTTGAGTGCCGCTATCCCCACGCGGCAGTTGGCCTGGGCCTGTGAACAGAGAGGAGACGAGAGGTCAGAGAGAAACGCCAGCTCCCACCACCTAAAGGCATCCACTCTCTTGAAGAACAGTATCAGGAACTGCCTCAAGTGAGGTGGCAGCAGAAGTGTACAAATCCCCACACTAAGGATGTCAGTTAAGGCCTGGGCATTTCTCCACTTGTGCCTCACTTCTTTCTCCTCCAGGAATTTGTATTATCAGTGAACAAACCCACCTGTACATGAGAACTGCAGGTAATAGGCTTCAAAGCCCAGGAGAAGCCTGATTCTAAGCGACCTTAGTCTTAAAAAGGACTAATGCACTAACTCCCACATAGCTCCACTCACCTTTGGTTCCTGAGCCAAATCAGTCTTCTGAAAAAGAAAACAAAAGATGGTAAGTGAGCAGCTACAGCACACACTTCCACCCAGCCACTGCTGGACAGGCTTATTCTCGAGAACGTAGCCAGAAGCAACTTCACAGAACAGCTCCCTACTGACAGAGGCTGCGACCAAGTCTCCTGTTCAGGACATCACTGCAGCCATCATAACCACCTCCACAGCCCCCTGGCAGGTAAGACAATAGGACTTTCAATTGCAAGTTAAGCCACAATTTTCTTCTCATCCAAAAGATGACAGTCCAGTCAGCAGGCATCAGGGAGACACAGGGGACAAGAAGGAAAGGAATTTCAGTGCTTCCTGGAAGCTTTCAGGGAATAAACTTTTGACCTTTTAGAGCATCTTACATCCAAAAGCCAGACTCTGAAAGATGCTGTGGCTTTTACGTGCTGAGACTGATGTCTGAAAAGGGTAAGGGATTTGTCCATGGTCAGAAAGGCAGCTGGAGAGAGCCAGGGCAAGAGCTTACAGCCTGACTCCCAGTTCCAAACACCTAACAGCAGCAATGCACTGCTCGCACCATCTTTTTGACTAATACAAACGAGCTCCCCAGACACTCAGGTCTGGTTTGTTTTTCAGATGCAAAGATATGACAAGCATTTCTTTCTGCTGCAAGGTTTTAGTTTGGAAACCCTGTCCACCAATGTATTCACTGCAGTGATTTTAAGTTAATCTGGTTGTGTTCCAAACATTGAACAGCTGAGCCACCGTACCAGAACTGCATACTTATAAGTACTGCAGGTTATGGTCTTGGGGAACTCTCCATCTCCCCCAGTCTCAGCGTGCAGACAGGTAACTGAACACCCAACCCTCAGAATTTACCCTGTGCACAAACATCCCAAAGTTCTGCTAACCTGTGGAGTGGTGAGGGCTTCTTGTTCCTGGGGTGCTCCAACCTTGCCAATCAGAAAGATTCCACCGTTAGCAGAAGCAGCCACACTTCAGAGCCTCAAGCATTGCAATTCAAACCTTACCTGGAAATGCATTTCAACCAGACTACAAAATGCACTGGGGTCTCCCACCCACCACCATGAACTGCACAGAGAACTGTCTGCTCTACAGGTGGCTTTTGTTCAGCCTGTCAGTGCATCAGGAAAATGAACAGAAGTCAGGCAGGAGAGGGTTTTTCATTGTCTGCCAATTTCACATTTAGTGTAACTCTGGATTTTAATTCACAGAAACCAAAAAAATAGAACACAAGATACACCCAAGCAACTTATTTCTAGATTGGTTTCTCAATTGTGCTTCACTCTCAAATCCACTTCCTTCTCACAGGAACAGACTGGCATAGAGACTTCCCTTCACCGTCCACCTTGACCAACCTGCCCATCTCTGACTCTAGGTAAGAATTCAGGACAGAAGTCTCTTTACAAAAAAAGGAAGAGCATTCCTCACCACAACTTGACAAAAAAGGGCTTCCTGACCTGAGCTCTCGAAAAAAAAGGACCAGAGAGGCCCAGATGCAATGCTGAGACATCAAAACCTCATGCGTTTCGGTGCATCACCACAAAGACATCACTACAGCATGAGAGCAGACGTGAGCCCAGGACAGCATCTCTTTACCACTGTGTTACATAAACTACCCCAATCTACCCGTTTCTGCCACAACCACACCTTCGTTTTGCTAAGCCATAGACCCCTAGTGTCAGCGCAGCATTCCACCTGTACGGATGAGGCATACAACCACTCATGCCATTTACACTAGTAAATCCAAACTATCAACACTAACCTGGTCAGCCTTGTGTGTTCAAGTTTCCCTGATCAGCACCAGCTTCCCAGGCCACAGCACATCCCTACCTCACAGCGACAGCAACAGATTTCAGACAGTTTCTGCACTTGCTTCCCCAACAACTTGCAAATTGTACCCAATTCCTAAACATCTCCAACACTCACTGAACCCAAGGAAAGGAGACTCTTACCATGCGTCTGTACTTGTTGACGTTCTGCTGCAGGGTAGTTAGTAGGAAACTGAAGATCTTCTCCATGTTCTGGGTGAGGGTTTGCTGGATATCTCGTCGCCGCTGGGTAGGCAGAGTTTGAAAAGTCACCACATCCTCTGCCAAACGTAGGAGGATGAACATCACCAGTTCTGTTTGAGTTTCCTGGTGTACCAAAATGAAATACACTCCATCAGCACAGTTCAAATATTAAAATTCCTAGAATCCACCTCAGAGATGTAGAAAGACAGTAAGCACGCATAAAGATACAAGTCACATTTCAGGGAAACAAGACAGGAGGATGGCCCTCTTTCTGCTGAAACCATCTCCTAGAATAACTTGAACTAGCAGAGATTAAGTGCATCATCAGCCTGTCTCACTTGACCATCTGAGGCTTTCCTCAGGATGATGGAAGACTGAAATGCATACCATGAGCAAGCAGAACAGAACAGACAGGTATGTTTCATACCCCTTGCTTGGAGAGGGTATCCAGCTCCTTTAGCATGTCCGGCCAGTGCTGAGGCCATTCGCGCTTGATCATCTCTACCACAATGCGAGACAGAACATCCTTAATGTGACTTTCTTCCTCCAGAATACTTTGAGTTCCCTGTGACAGAAGAGGGACAGAGTTATACAGAACAGCAAACGTCAGACATTTGTAATTCTGACCTGGGAAGCACAGCAATTGCAAACATTCTAAACTACACAAAATAACAACAAAACACAACATTGGGCAGCTCTTCTTCCCAGCTACCTTGGATGACACTCCTACCTTCCCCAGCACCTAGAGCTAGTGAACTATGGAAAACAAAAAGATTTTCCTCAAATGGTCACTTGGTGACAAGAGCAATCATGATAGAGAAAACACAACTAAGATACTTCAGTATTCTTGCAAAGGGTAAGAACATCCATATTTACGAAACTTCCTTCTAAGAAAATATAAAGTACCTTAAATATCTCCTCCAAGCCTCACAACTTCCTGCCATTTCAAGTGACATGGTTAGTGACCTAACTACAAGACAGAGAAAAGCACTGGAACAACCACAGATGCACAGCAAGAAAGTAACAAAATGCAGAATTGAATTCAAATCCTCAGTGCTAATTAACTGGAGGCTTTTTTCCTTTTGCTCTCACTTTTCCCAAGTGAGAGAATCACGTTTCAGAGAACAGTCTGGGATAGAAGGTACTTACACTGGATATAAGGCCCATGACATTGTTCTTTAGATAAACTTTTTCTAGGCGAGGCATATTGTTCCAGCGGAACCTGTTCGAAAGAGTTTAAAAACAGAGAGAAGCAAAAAGGACACCAAGTCAAAATATTTATAAAGATCTCTATTTGATCATTCACGAACTAACTATCACTTCTTTACCCAAACTAGAGGAACACTACAGCTCACTGGCCCTGCCAGTGCTCAAGCCCTTAATGAAAGGGCTGAGTTAAAACTGCTGCTGGCAAATGGGCGTGCACCACTGAGGTCAACAGACATGAGAAGCAGCAGCAAAAGCACAAAGCATCAGGTCTGTAGAGGCGGCAGAGAGGAATCTCAGAAGAACTAATACAAAGCCTCTTTGTTAGCCTGAGCCTAATGACAGAGAACGCTGCAAAGACTTACTGATAACTCTGTGTGCTTATTTACACCTTGTGATGTAACTGTGTCTTAGAGCTCGGTGAATTAACCTTCCCAAACTGCCTGAAAGCCATCTTCTCCTCTCCTTCTCTTACGGAAGAGGAAAGAAAGAGAGCAGGGCAGTAACCGTCCTTTGCTACAGAAGAGACTCTCTGCATCCTGTAAGTGCCTCCCTGAAGCAGGAGGCACTGGAACGGGAGCAAAGCCCACTCCAGTGTCTGGGTGGCAGTGGGCCTGCACCCTTCCCCGGCGCAGGGGCGGCGGGACGGGCTGCCTTACTTGACCACATGCTCCAGGATCTGCAGGCCAAAGTGCCGGACGATGGCCGTCTGTGTCTTCTCCGCCAGCTTCAGCCCGCAGGGCACGCAGATGGGACACTTCTCCTTGAACTCCTCGCAGAACTGGGAAAGGGCCGGGGACACGCACAGGCAATTACAACACAGGTGCGG